TCTATTGCATGGCTTTCTCCTTCACACCTGAAAGGTTCAGGAGACATGGGACCAACTCGAGGATTCTGTACACTTTGTCAGTTCACAAAAGATCTGCTGAGAGCAACAAAGGTATCAGAGATGACCGCTGCACCAGGAAATCTGCATACAGACAATTCACTTCCTTTGAAGTGAATCCTCAGATGCTACAGTGGACTATGAATTTTTTAATGCTTTTTTGAAGGGATGTTTAATACTAAAAATACTGTATAAAAACAGAAAAAAATCAAAAGAGTATATAATATCATATTCCTGACTAGTTTTCCACATGACAATTAAAATAAGATCATGTAATTCACTGATCTTATTCTAATGTAGTTATTGACAAGTGAGATGAATCCCTCTCCATTGCTTACCAATATCGCTTAGCTTAGACTAGAGATGCCAGTTTTTAAGGCATTAGGTGAAATGAATCCTGTTCTTTGGCTTTTGATTCATCATTGCAATTTATGCCAGCAAATATTACACTCACAAAAGTATTGCGCAGCCTGTAAAATCAACAGACGAAAGACTCTGATTTTGTACTAGATATTTTTGGTGCCATCAGGTTCATTTTCTTTCTAGGTAAGCCATCTCAATTACTTCAGTACTCAACACACAAAATCTTTTCTAAGCTCCTTTTTTGCTTGATAGTGGCATCTGAATTTGTTCTTCATTATCATTTAGATGGGATTATCTATAAGAAATAAGTATTCCAGGTGAAGGCTTTCCACTCATTGACCTAATGACCCTAAGCATTTCTTTTAAAAGATGCATTCAAACTGGAATGGATGCAAAGGAGAATCAGGGAAAATGAGAGCCTTTTTTTACAAGAGGTGATCAAAACTATAGTTGAAGTCTACTAAAGCTGATGCTAACATGCTCACTTTGGTATGCTTCTTTTCAACTACGTTTCTTCTCACATCAGGTGAATGAGTTGCTGGAAGGTAGAAGAGCAATTATGCACTTGCATAGACAATAGGTATAAATTAGTCATGGTAAATGCAGCCTGCAAACTAGATTTTTTTTGAACATCAGAGGATAGACTTCTGGAACAGTCTTTCAGTTGCAGAAGTCTTAGGCAAGCAACCAAACTCATCTGAGATGAGGTTTGATAAATTCACAAAAGAGACTGTAGGTAAGAGTTGCCTGAAATACAGGGCACTAGACTTGGGGAGGTCACTTCTTGTAATCCTGTAGTTTTGTTTCCATATTATCCTGTTCCCTATGCATTCCAACATTCAGCTTGCTCTCTGAAGCTGGCTGCAATTTGAGCAAAAGACTTAAATAATTAACCGCCAGCAGTGAGGTTCTTCAACCGTATGCTATCTTTTTATTCTGCTTGTACTTTTTTTACTTGAATTACTTGCATCCTTATTTTCCTTTCTTATCCTGAAAGGCATTCTGTGTGCATAGCTTCTTTTCTCTGCCTCTTATACTGTTGTCATAATGGTGCAGTGACAATATGCCTAGTAACGTTTCATGGCATGTGTAGTTTCACAAATTCCAGCTGTTAACCGTATGTTCAGTCTTTGGAATAAGCACAGAGGGGATAGTCTCCTGCATCACGTATCTTATTCCTGCAATATTTAAACATATTATAGAGCAGAGCATAACTCTGTCATTTTTATTTAACGTGTGTGAAATCTCCATATTTTTAACAGGAAGGTTTCTGATAAAACAAAGAGTATCTCAATATACTAGTTCTAGTATCTTGTCCCCTTCCTCTCTAAATGTCATTATGGTGGCAACAGATGTCTTTGCCTTGTGTCCTTTGCTGAGTTTAATTTGTTCATTGTCTGATTTCCCAAAGAAATATTTGTTAACAGAATACAGTTACTATCTTTACTATGAGGAACCCAAAGCAAAGATTTTAAAAACTCTCAATAGCAAAAAAAAAAAAAAAAAAACAGCAACAACAAAAAAAAAACTCCAGAAGAGTAAATGGGATTGCTGCTGACCAAGAAAGTATGACTTTGGGACACAAAGGTGGAATCAGAGATGCTTAATTCAATTCTAATAAAAAACCCTCTCTCTAAAACATTTATTTAAATGTGGTAGAACAAAAACATTTATCTACCTAGCTTTGAGCTTCGGTCTGGAAGATAGAATTTCTGAAATAATTGAATAGATTTTTTTTCCCCACAAGGAAACAGAACAATTCAATTGTGCTCTTTTCTCTGCCTGGCCCCATAGCCCTCCCTTTCTCTACAGGATGTCCAGCTTATCTTCATTTTAATTATTTTATGAGGTAGGTTTATTACACTTTCAACAAAGCAACCGTTTCTCCACATTATTGCACTGTTTACACCGTCAGCTTTCTCTCGTGTCTTTCCTGCTTACCTGAGTTTTTGACTAGAAACATTGGCACTTGGGGGGATGTTTTTTAGATAAAAATTTCTAGAGCTGCCTAAAGCATGTTAGACATTTTCAACACTTTAAAATTTTATTTTGTTCTACTTTCCCAAAATATAGTTGAATCAAAATTGTTCTTGACAGACATAAAAGCAGATTTTCAGTTTGGTTCTCTCTCTTGCCTAGCTTCAATTATTGCAAAATAATAAAAGGGCCAATGCTGACTTTCTAATTTATAATATTTACATTTTACCATTTTATATTCTTCTTCTTTTTTCTCAATTAATTTATAAAAGTAATCTTAAATATGAAGAAATTACAGAAGTCAGTAAGTATGTACTTTGCCTATTGGGTACGAATTGCCTAGCTCAGAACACACAATTTAAGAATTTACAAGGAAGTCAGTCCTAGAGTAAAGCTATTACAGCTAAACCACAGAGTTCCCTTGCAAGAAAGGAAAAAACAGAGCGGGAAGAGGTCAGAGAACATGACCCTTTTTCGCCATCATTCCTAGAGATTTTTTTTCAATCTGTTCTTAAATAAATCTAATGATAGAAATATCAAAGAATATTTTATGACACTCCTAGCAAAACTAAATAGAAAATGATTCAGATGGACAGCTGAACTGTCAGTCCACTGACCTACACGGAGTTCTTACCACTATAACCATTAGAGATTTTGAGTTTCTTGATGAACTGAGACTGATGTTAGAGACTTTTAAGTTTCTTGATAAACTAGTGAGAAAACACACAGACAAATGCAAGCACGTATACCTATATTCAGTCCAAATTTATCCTCTGTTCTTGACTTATATTTTATCTGAATTTTCTAAGCCCTATTTTTTTTTTTAAACTAGCAGTATTTCCTTGCAGGGAGTAAATTACACCTTGAATTCCAGCCAGCTGAAGGCTGTGTGTTCTGCACCCTCAGAGCGTACACTGGGAAAATTTATGAAAATGGAATAATTACTTATCTAATATTCAGTCTCCGAAAACAGGTCTTGGACAACATTATGTGTTTCTATATCCTATAAATGCAGTGATCCACTGCCTCAAATGTCAGCAAAATTAGTTTTGATTTTCCAGTACTTTCTATCCTGTAACTTTTACTAAGTCAAAGTAAGTGCAAAGTCAGAGTAAACCATCGCTACATCAGTATGTCTCAGAGAGTCTTCTTTTAAATGAAAGCCCAGTTACACAGGCAGTATGGAATTAGTCCCAAACCTGCATATGTGCCAAAGTACCTAATTGTATTTATTTTCTGCTCATCTTGACCAATCTCCTTACTGCAAGGTTTGTTATTCTGTAGGGCACTTATATAGGCTGCATAAAATAAATTATATCCTTTTCCCTCACTTTTTAACCTTCTTCAGAATAGGGCTAAATTAGCCATAAAACTGACATCTCAAGTATATAGACACCACTGAAATCTGAGACTTACAGTGGGTGAGTGGATCGGAACTACTGAACCACTTACGCCGATTTGCATAAGAAAAGATGCTGGGTAAAGACGCTGAATTCTTAGAGTAAATTCTAATGAGAAAATTTGGGATTAAGAGATATTCATAATTAAGAGCAGTTCCAATAACCATAAGCATTTTTGTATTTCAACAATCATTTTACACTGAACTCCAACAGAATGTCAAAATTCCTGAAGGAAATTTTTTGATAAGTTTGTAAAAAATTTGATTCAGTTGTTTATGAGAAAGTTTTCCTATTGTAGACAGTTTTGTTTAGTTCCTCAGTGAGTTCCTACTCCGCAAAATCTCATGTTAAGTAGGATACGATATGATATGACAGATTTTACTTAATGGACACGAAGCAGTTCTTAAGTTATACAAAGAGCTAACCAGGCTAATTGGCAGAGCTGCTACAGCATTTCTCAGAGGTATCCTCCTCAGCATCTCAGATAGAAGAACTGCTACAGATATATCAGTAGGCCTTCCTACAAATGAAAATTAGATCTAACGTCTCATTATACAAATTTCTCCCTATTTTATAATTTCTCTTTTCTTGGGCTACTTTATATATATCTGTAACCATTTCAAGGCAGCTGCTGTAGAGAAAACAAAAACAAAAGGATCTTGCAACAGGTAGTACACATAACAAGACAAAGTGTAGAAGATAAATCACGTTTGCCCACAACCATCACTTCAAATAAATACATTTTCAAACCACTCAGTTTTGACAAACAGTCAAATCAACAAAAACAGTTTTGCTGATGTGTAGTTGCGTGTTGGCCTCTTCTGTTATTTGTAAACCTTTAGCAAAATTAACAGAAGCAGTAAAATATGCAACTATATTGTTTTCTAAACATACTTCTCCATAACTCTAATTCAGCATTTTTTGGAGGTTCTATACACTCAAATTAGAATTACTGTCTTATAGGGTTCGGAATATCATTTTCACTATTGAGATACTCTTCACTTCACATAATTAAAGCACTGGCCACCTTAAACTGCTTATAAGTAGGTCTTCACCAAAATGCTTTATAAATTATTTTAACTGCACAAACCTAAATGCCAACACTCCTTCTCCACCTCACATTACTAATGAGATGCCTGTAGAAGCGGGAGGAAACATAAATCCCTCCTAAAGGGGAAGGACAAGAAGAGGGCTAATCGGTACTTGCTGATGGAGTCCTCGGCACATGACAGCCGCCATGACATCATCTTTGCCATGTGCAACCCCCAGCAAGGTACCATTGACCTCTGCTGCTACAAATCTAGCGTATGCTAATGGCTCTGTAGCATACGTGGGACTTGCCTCCTGTCCCAGATTTGACCCAGCTGTGACAGTCATTCTTCCATGGTGCAAACAGCGAGGGGAAGTGAAGGAGCTTTTCCCCCTTAGATTTTCAGACACTGGTTCCCCTGATGTAACACTGGCTCAAAACAGGCCATGAAACAGTACTGCATTGCTTTTAGTTCCTTTATCAAAAGGAAAGTTGCTGTGCTGAATCCTGTATGGAGAGCTGTCATACTCTCTCTCACACTACATTTCTGTGAGACAGAACTATGTAATAACCCATAAATTCGGGGGGGGGGAGGGGGGGCAGGGGATGGAAAGCGGCCCCATCATGTGATTGAGAAGGAGAACATACTGCAGTGTGGCAAAGTGTCTAAGCCCTTCTGCTAGTACTGAAGTGTCACCTGCTCCTGTGTCCTCAGCTAGAACGAGAGATACAGGGAACTAGTAGCAACCTACCTCAGTTACAACCCTTGTGTAAAATTGCTTTACTTTCATGCCAGGCAATATATATGTTTTCTTGGGTATAGATTAACCTTGCTTAATTCTTGTTCTACAATAAGAAATTATCATTTTAAGGGGAAAAAAGTTAGTAATAGCTAGAAATTTTTAAAATTTCCTTGAAGCTTTACAGGTTTCTTAACCTCTCAAGCTCAGGAATATTTTCCTAATATTTTAATGTTTTTCTTGCTTAATCTATGTTTTGTAGTGTCCATTTTATGTTTTATGAAAGTGTAAAGAAAATGCAGAAAATAGTATATAATGATCTGATTGCAGCACTGTAATTTTGGTCTTGTGTATTGAAATGATCACATTCCTTTAATACGCCATAGCAAGTTTTAAAATGCTGCATTTAATGGTAAGTCAGATAAACCACAATTGCAGAGCCTGGTAATGCTTGTTTTGACTTTGTAAAGTAAGATATCAAAGTGGTATAAGATCAAGTCGCCATATTTGGCACTGTCAAGTCCAAGTTAGACTTGTATCCTAGGTGAAGGGATAGTCAAATGCAATCATCCCTCTGAAAATAGCACGGTACTGTATATAAACTAAAAGAATTATTGGTTGTAAAGCAGTCTGGACTGAATATAACATAAACTCAGCTGGCTGGAGCTAAGGGAGCTGTTTCTTTTGCTCCATAACAGAGCTTTTGTTTCAGAAGCTGGAGACGCTATGTTTAGCCCAGCAACAAATTCTTTTTAAATGAATTAACTGTGTGTAGATTTGATAGTGTGTTTACCAAGACTTCCAGATGTGTACTGTTATGTCCATATACCTCATATGGTACGGTGTGGCTGTCTATCTATTAGATTTTAAAATAAACACAAGTCTTTTCTTTAAAATGTCTAAAAACAATTGTGCCAAAAAAGGTTCCTAGTCATGCAGAAGGTTACTATCATAGCCTTCATAAAATGACTGGTCTGCCCCATTATCAAGTGGTGCACGCATCATGGGTTTTCCTTCTTTCTCACTGGTCACAATGGTCATAGTCTCTGGGACCAATTCTTAATTTGGTATTTCAGTTACCAACATCTTCCTTCTCCCATTGCCATTCTAATCCTCTTCCATGTCCTAAAGTACTTTATATAATTAAAATTTTCTGTTTCAGCTCATTATTACTATTAAAGTCAATTTCTCACTTGAACATATGTACATGCTGGGCATGAATATAACTAGTCACACATGGACGTATGAGTGAAGGTTATTGAATCAGTCCCTTGTCATATCTGTGGAACATACTGGCTAAAATTTGAATGTATATTTGTAAAATCTTTATCTTGGAGATGAATTAACACAATGCCTGAAGCTTTCAGTTAACTAAATCATATGACTTGCATTTATGTGCTTATTTCTAATCATTACTGAAGGATGGTATTCAGGAACAGCAGAAGAAATGCAAGATGGAAAGCAGTAAGTTCCATATATTTCATTTGAAAGGCTTATAAACCCACCATGACTTCATGCTCCTCACCGTACCAGGAATGGCTAGGAAGCTTTACCTGGAGGTACTGACAAACGTACGTGAGGTTTAAAAATATGATTAAAGGGATGCCTGCCTGACAGCAAATAAATGAGATTTTATTTGTACTGACAGAAATGTATTTTGTATGCTCCAGGGGAGAAATGTGATCTGCTGTCTAGCAAATCACAACTTGGAAGGCAGTCTTCCAAATCCTGTACAAGTCAGAGAGACTAGGAAAGAAGGACAAACAAAGGGCTGCAGATCCTGACTATACTTCACACAACATGCTGGCTGAAACATTTGTCAGCATTGAGAAGAAAATCCAGTTAAGATCTGGAAAAAGGAGGAAGTCCTTCATCCAGTTTCTTAGGCAGATTTTGCAACTTACCCTGTGTTCTATGTTGTCATATTTCTATCATCTCTCAAGCTAGCTTCAGAATGACTATGTAGGCTATACAAATACATGCCTGCTAAAAGCCACTAACTGGTTTTTAGTCTTCTGGGAAGCATGAGTACAATCTACTCAATATTCAGCTCTAAAATACTAACGAAGGTATTCTATTTTTCCACTGTTGACATTTAGGTTGCATTAAACAATCTAGAACCTTGATTTTATCCATTTATAAATTAGGTTACTTGGCATTTTTCTAAAATACAATTTCAGAGCACTCACTTTATTGCTTTAAATGAACGCCTGGTTGTCTAAGCCTGGTCATCTCCAGTATTTAGTATTACTTGCTTTCACCACTACTGATCAATTAGATAAGAATCTACTAATCTCAATCCCTTAATTTGCGTCTTTTAATCACCACCTTTTATTCCTCTTTGCATTACTGTAAAAGCCTATACAATTCATCAAATGCAGACAATCATCCCTGCTTGTGAAATATTTACAACCTCAGCTTGTGACTATATGGTTTACTATGGTTTGCCTTTATCCTTACATTTCAAATCCTTTCTCAGCTTCCCACACCATTTTTCTTCTCTTACAAACATGATGGAAAAAATGTGCAAATTCTAAAATATTTGGAAAAACACCACTTGATTAGTTATCCTGTACATTTTCATGTGTAAATTATAACAGGCTGAGGCAATTAATACACTAGTGCTGCAGCAATAATTTGCTTATTTCTGATTTGATATTTATAACAATATAGAGCTAAATAATGTTGTGATAATGATTCATCTGCTACTTGTTTGTTAGTATTTTTGTTTGTTTTCACTTTTTCTGAAAAAGTAGAATTGAAAGTCTAGAAAACTACAAAGGTTAGAGTTTGGCTGTCCCTTGCCACTAACCTGACCAATGCCAAATGGCAGTGACAGGTGTTACAAAAACAGCAAGTTTTAAGAAGAAGATGCTCCCAAAAATAGGGAATATAAATATACAGACTCCACTTACCTCGGGATTAAGGCTACTGTTGAACAATACAGTATCCACAGCAGTAACCAAGGATCCATCTTTGCATGTGCCAAAAAATAATGGGCAAAGGACTCCTAGTAATCTGTTGGCAAGAAACACAAATTCCATAATAGGGTTATTGTAATCCATCCTGATAAGAATGCATGGAAAAAAACTATATTTCTGATACACTGATTTTCTTCTTATATCTAAAATAACAAACGACATAGCATAATGAGATTAATGAGTATAAAACTGCCTATTTCTGACATCACTTATTGCTGATTTACACGGACCTAAGTCTATTTAAACAAATTTGTAAAAGTGGTATGAGGATGAGATTCTGCTCTGTATAATCAGAATTAAAATCTCCCCTTAGATATATTTATGCTTGATAACTCAAGTTTGTCATTTTTTCTACCACCAATTTCTGAATATTTATGACAAGGTATATCTCCAGATATACAGAGCAGAAAGGAAGTAACGTCTACATAATTTACTAGAGCTGAAATTACAGACGGATTACACAGACGAATTATGGCCTACTGATTAGCGATGAAAACTTCATGCTAGACTACATAGATACATATTATTTCAGAGCAAACATATAGCATTTTAAAATATTTTTCTCAACTTAAAATACTTAATTTGAGTTACATTTTAAAATTCCTATGATTGCAAAACAGACTGTCATAGTCTGATGAGTCTAATTTTGCAGACTTTGGAAGAAGAGAAACAGTATAACCGAGAAATTGCATTTATTGTTTATTTTTAAAAACAGCCAATCCGTTTTAAGTTACATAGGAATGTTAGGCTCTAAGTTGTGGCATCTTAGGACTCATTAATTTCCCCTTTTTAATGACATCAGTTTTCTCATTCTAGCTCTCACTGCCTGCTTCTTGCTCTAACAGACTGTTTCACAGCAATTCAACACTAGTCAAAGATGGAATATTGCCCTTCTGGGCTTCAGGTCAACATAATTGGGAGATGAAACCCCATAGTTGGCAGGGGAAAAAAGAGAGAACATTTTTGTGGCAGGTTAGTTCAAAAAAAAAAAAGTCAGCTGACTGAAACTGCTCAAAAGTCTGGAATGTTACAGGGATCTTGTGAGAGGTGGGTTGAAGAGGCAAACACAGGTGAAGTCATCAAAGGTGTACGGTAAACAAAGCTTATCCCACGACTCCCCAGTCATCATAGGGATACCAACAGCCATATGGTAATAGGCAAGCAAAAAGACTATTGCAGCTTAGATTTGTCACAAAAATAAACATATTTGCCTTAGAGGAGTCTGTTTTTATAACCATGTGTGACAGGACACTAAGCAAGCCAGAACTTTGAGGCAGAGCTGTCTGTACCTTTTCCTTAGAGTGAGCACATCACAAACAGTAAAACAATTTTCAATCCCTAAGTTAGATTTTAGTGGAACCCAAAGTGGAACAAGGTAGCCTTTGAAAGAGAGGAAATTCAAATCTGTTGAAAGAGACAGGTTCACATAAAACACTTTGTAAACAATCTCCTCCCTACTTTGGGTGCCTGTATATCCAAATCCAGCTCCCAGGTCCAGCAGTTTTCAACTTTTGGTTTACTACAAATTCAACATTCCTTTCTGGAGCCTAAGGAAAATTTCTTTGTCCCTTCATGCCTAGCTACCTGGCTGCTCCCTTCCTCTCCCGAGAACTTCCCAGCTCCTCC